AGGTTTGAAAGGTTTATATATACACTCATCGGTAGTCTCGCTTGCAGATAACTGTGAAAGAAAGTGCTTCTGCTAATGTACGTAAATAACAATTTAATTGGAGTATTTCTGATTTGTACTTGGACTGGCTTTAGCAATCCAGTCTTTCTTTATTTTCCATGCAATGCAAGTTTGACAATATCAACAGACGAAATTTATCTCTTGAAATTTGTCGGACTTGGACCTTAAAGGAGTTTCTAAACTTCATATTGTAGGACGTCAAAATAATTTCAACTTTTACCCCTCCTTCGACACACAGAAAAAACAATGTTTGAGGAAAACTAGTTTCGTCTATTCGACCTTATCAATTCCTCTACAACTGTTGTATACGATAAGCGCGCTTACATTTGAAATTTTACAAACAGCGCGCGTAAATTACGTAGCGCGAGCTAAAGGTGTCACAAAACTGCGGTGAAGAACAAAGATTACATTACAATATGAAATTTATCTCTATTGGCTGATTTTTAACCCCACGTTCAATTAAAGAAAATACAATATATATATACGTGTAAATTGAATATTCTTGTATGTCCGTGACATACGTCATCCACCCCAAGAATATTCGAACGTTTGAAATTTAGGCCCGGTTCATACGTCGAGCCAGCGTCGCGCCGAACCAAATAGTTTGAACTTAAGCACATGAACAGCTCGACGTATGAATCAATTGAGTTCGGCGCGACCATAGCACGGCATTGGCACGGCAGAGTCAGTCGTGCTGCACGGCAAAAGCTCGACGCTGATTCATACGTCGAGCCTATCGTCGTGCCGAACTTAATTCACAAAAATATCTGTTTTCAACAATAATAATTGTGTAAATTGCGTGTTATCGCACCTTTTCTTATGCTTTTGACTGCATTTGGTTCGACGTATGAATCAACGACGTACCAAATGGATTTGGGTCGACACAAATTGACTATTTGGTTCGGCGCGACGCTGGCTCGACGTATGAACCGGGCCTTACTTTTATCGTAGCTTTCTTAGTAAGTCCGCCATCATCGGAATCCCTCCGAATAATGTTCGAATCACTGTTCCAACTGCTAACGGGAGGAGAACCAAGTGGCAATACGAGCTTACCCCGAGAAGAACCGAATGAAAATGCGAGCTTTTCCCGAATTACACTCACTCAAGGGGATGGCATAATGGCTAGAGCCTCTTTGTAGCATTAGCCACAAAACGTATCGGGCCTGAAGAGGGTGTCTGATCTCATTGCCCAGTCTATTTCCCACTCATTTAAATATTTAAAGGGCTACCTGGACGAGAATTTTGAATCATTAGAAAAGACTTGGAAATCAAATAGACCTATCCACATGGGTCTAATAATCATGAAGCAACAGATTTCAAGAAGATAATGATACAAATCCTTGATAATTTGGACAAAAAATGTTGGAGTAGATAACGTCATTTACTCCATCCTTTTGTTCTTCCATCTTTTGAATCAAAATTTATCTAATGTGGGATAATTCCAAAATAAATATTTTCCTTCAAGTGTTTTTAATAGATATCAATGAGTCATATATTTGTATTGCTTGAAGTTTTGAAATAATGCCATTTTCATGCAAGTAGCACTTTAATTTTCAAAATAAACAAATAAATAACGCTTTTGAAATGCTTATTTTGTGACAATTTAGGTTTGCTTTAGTCCTGTTCTGGCATTCAAATTTTTCAATTCCGGCGACAAGTGTGTTCATTTTATTTTAATAAAATATATGAATATGAGGACCGCATGGTACTATGATAGACACGATATAGAAATGAAAGAACGTTATAGTTCTTAGAAAGAGGCAATTCCGGGAAAAAGACCCTAAGGAATAAATTCGGAAAAATTCATTTCCGACCTTCGAATTTGTACTACCGATGTACTAGCTGAGCTAAATGGCCAGACTGGGAGCAGGTCGGGGTGGAATAGATGTTAGGTTGCGGTAATAGAATAATGTCAAGATATGAATATATGAGGACCGCATGAAAGAAAGTTATAATGCTTATTTCACCCCGACCTGCTCCCAATCTGGCCTTGTACCTCAGCTGGTAGAGTATGTCGGTAGTACAAATCCGAAGGTCGTGGGTTCGAATCCTAGCCAGGTCGGAAATGAATTTTTCCGAATTTAGGGACTGTGTAATAATACCAGGGGTAGAGGCGCGTATAACTAGATTTCTCAAGCAGAAAATTAAGAGAGCTGGCTAAATAACTGTTCTTGTATGAATTTGTTCCTGGGAAAGGTTTTCAAGGTTCAATCAAGATGTTTTTCAGCTTCTAAATCAATAGTTAAAAAAAAAATTCATAACTTGGTCAATCCCACATCAAAGAGTCTTTGAATTTAGATTTCCATTAGTACGTTTCGTTTCATAATGGATTTTTCATAAATAAGATAACCTAACAAGCTTTAGCTAGTATATTAACAAGCCGCCAATGGCGACACAATTCGAAGATTGTCAGACAATAAATCTGGACATAAGTCTGTATAAAGCCTCTTACAAAGGATAAAGTTTATATGAATCGATGAGCATTAAATCACTAATCCACGTGGATCGGAATAATCCTTGAAATCATCGTAATAGCAATGCTTTATTTACGAGCCATATTCACACGATATCTCCTAAAACGACTTCTGAAATCAACAGATTCTTACACAAGAATTTCCAGACCTCAAAAATCACATTTTGTGTGTTTAAAAAGCCATTTCTGTATCAAAACACCTGGCCATCTTGGCTAAAGATTTCTAAATGCCCGTATGTTTACAGAAAAAAAATTAGTGACCTATTAACTAGTCCMCCTCACACATCATCYMCCTCATCTCCCTCCTATAACTCTTCGATTGCTTCGCAATCTTCGAGTTAAAAATGATCAGTGTTGTTGAAGCTTCTTAAAACTGAAAAAGTAATATCAAGATCATATTAATTGTCAGTTAAATAGAGGATATTGCATGGTCGCACGGAGATTCTGATTTTATCTTTGAGTGTTGAAAAGATATCTCATGAGTGAGAGATTTTCAACACGAGAAGATAAAATTCGTATCTCGAAGAGAACATGTAATATTCTATTTATCATATAATTGTATATGAAAGCAAATTATGTCGTAAAATACTGCTTTTTTCTTGCTTCCACTATATAGAGAAAGCTCGAATGTGTTATTTTCACTAGTGAAAATACAAGTTTACGAAATGGAAATATAGGTATTTCAGTTCTACCTAAAGGAAAGCACCCTATCTGTCGAAAGGAGGCCCGGACTGGACTAAGGTTGCTTATGTTTAGCTATGTCGTTTTTGTACTACACAAGGCTTTTTCTAATAACAATAATAATAATAATAATAATGGTTTATTACGAAATCCACAGGGTGGCTCTTCCTCCGTAAAAACTATACTACTCTACATTACACTAAGTAAAACAATATAGATTAAATACATATACAATAGATAAAATATATATATAATAGAATATTAGTAATTAAATTAATTAAATGAGATAGGAACTAAGAAAGATATGCATTTGTAGTTTAAGTGTCAATTGAAGTGGCAAGATGTTTTTTTAGTAGCCTGACAAAAGTTGCGAAATCTTTACACTGTCTTATGCTAGGAGGTAATTCATTAAATAAGTTTGCAGATGTGTCTTGGAAARTTCCCTTTTCTAGAGGAGTAACCAGTCTAATTGCATTGCTAGATCTGAGACATCTGACATTTTGTACTATATCCAATGAGAGATAGGAAGGCCACTCAGCATTATATAAAGCCTTATGTACAAGTTTTAGGTGATTATATTGTCTCTGTTGCTTTATAGGAAGCCAGCCTTTTTCTAGCGGGAAGCTGTACTATAAATGAGTCATTTTGATAAATTTCTACGACAATATTTTTGAATATTATTCTAGATTTTTTTACGTCACTTGAGATAGATTAAATACAAATCCCACTCCCATTCAATGTTCTGTTTCCTATTCCCAGTAGGCAAAAATCCAATTCCTAGTGCATCCAATCCCATTTTCCCAGTCAAAAATCAAACAGYCCCAYTTTGTCTATTCAGGACCCTCGTTCAGCCTTTAGCAACAAGAATTKTCTCATTCAAGGATATCACATAAAATGTCATCAACAATGGTCAAGGAAAAATTGTTCATTATCTACATSAGCGCAGATCCTTGTCAAGGAATAAACCTATGGAGGAAAACATGGGGAATGATRTGGATAGTGCTTTTTAAAACTAGTATTAATTTTTTAAAATTCAAAATAAAACAACATTTGCATATGTGTATCCCCGGGCTGATATGCTATTTTCAGATATCAAATTGTCATTATACATTTTGATATTAAGATATTATTTAAAGATCGTAATATCTTCGATGAAAACATTTGATCTCCTCAAAGTACTTATAAATGATATTTTGGATATGCTGCTGGGTTATTTGAACAGTATGAAACTATGCTGTTCTTCGAATCGTGATCCATGCCGTTATGAAATCTGCTATTTTTATAAACATTGAAAGAACAGGTAATATATGCTTTACTACCGTTCAAGAGAGGATATAACAGGAAGAAAAACATTGCAATTTAATAATCTAGTCCATTCCCCCATTAAAAAAGCAGTTTTGCCTCACTGTATTTCCATATCTTCCTCTGATGAACATAGCTTCATGCTATCGTGATAGCCTAGCAGCCTACAAAAACAATTTGAAATTCAGTTTCCTTCAATTCCGACTGCTTTTCCAAAAACAAAAATTCTTAAAAAAATGTAGCGACATACAAACTCAAAATGTTAGATCGAAAACTAATAAAAACAACTTGGTAATAAACTAATTCAGATTCAACCCCCCCCTCTCCTAACCCGAAAAAAAATAATAATAATAAAAATAGTCAAACATTTATTTCATAGGTAGACTATACGGAAAACACAATTGAACTATCGAAGACTAACATCCGAATATATCACATATTTAAATAGAGCAGTTGAATCGAGGACATATTGTGCTGCAATATTCGCCCRCGACAAAAAGGATRTTCCGAAAACCAAATAGTTGCTCGAGAACGCAGTTCAGGGGCGACTATGAAGTTTTGAGAAACATGCAGTTTACAAGAGCAACTGCTTTATTGTTATTTTTATTCCKCAAAATGTTCTGAAGCGGCAAGCTCTATACACTGATAGAACCCCCCGGCAGCGGCCATTAAGTAGTCRACTCTCCACCAATTACAGCGAAGGGAAATTTGTTGTTGAATCACAATATAGTATGGGATATTGATAGAGTTTTCAGGTTAACTGTTTGAAGAGAACGATTGTTCTGAGATGAACATCAGGGAACGGATGTGTGATTATGCAAATRATGACCCTTTTGTTGTAGTGGTGTTCAACCGTTGAGTAGCACTAAGATGCATGATTGAATATGTAAATTGCATYGTCTCGACTTGCAGTGATWTTTTAGATACAAATCTCCAGTACCTTCAAACATTTTATGAAGCAATAASTACGAAGAAATGTCAGTGGTCTGATCRCTAACATCACGGATTACGGTCCCAAAGCTTGTACACCTTTTGTTCGGAGAAAAAGAAGTGTGAATTCATAACATAATTAGATATTGGTAATGATGGAATSGTCAGCATCAAAGAAAGATGAACACGGTAAAGACAGTAAAGTTCTTCACATTTCCTTTTTCGTCTGGGGAGCTCTTTTGTACGGGTTTGAATCAGTTCCATCCTCTGGGGCACAAGATATTCTTGCTGGCACACAACTGCAAACGTCGACAGTATTCATCTGTTGGATATCTGGGACTCTGATAGGAGTTGCATTGGGGCCTTACGCCTTGATAAAGATTCCTCGCATATTATCGACTTCACTTACCGTTCTTCTTATGTTTTCTGGAGTTCTTATGATTGGAATTGGTACTAACGTAAATACTAAGTTAATTGGCGTCGCTCTGAATGGCCTTGGAACTGGTTTTGGTAATTCAGCCGTTCTTTCTTTTTCAACGTTATTTCGTAGTGACCATATTCGACAAGCTTATTCGTCTGGAACAGCAGTGGGTTATTTGATTGGAATATCGTATTATGCAGGTGGGAATTCACATTTAAGTGAAAAGTATTTGTTAACGGTTGAGCTTCCATGATAAAAATTCACCATAAGTTCTTTGTCACACTGCATTAATATCTATGGCGTTGATTAATATCTAGAGATATGTAATATATGGATATGTCAACTGGGGACGCCATGCAATGAGACAAAGAAAGAACATTATGTGCTGAACGATTATCGCGGAAGCATCTAAACAATTTTAGTATAAACATACTATCACTCATACTACGCTGTGATTGGCTACTCTACTAATGGTCTAATTTGTGATAGACCACTCGCGGGAAAATCAAAATAAATAAACTATAAAGTATAAATTATTTTAAGGATATTTCAATTTGTTTCCATTATTTGACCGATTAGTATGTTTATACTAAAACAATTAGACCTCTCGTCCTCGTGGACTACGAGCTAATAGCCCATTCGGGCTCGCGGACTCGGCCTCATGGGCTATTAGCTCGTAGTCCACTCGTAGTCCACTCATATAAAAAAATATACACTATCTAAMAAGACTAGACCATTGTTCAATACCCAATCAAAATGCTGGATTTATGTCGTGTACTCTTTTTCATTTTCAGCTATGACGACATGGATCTGTGTGTCTCCCACAATAACCCTTCTTATCATGACCCCGTTGAGTCTTCTTGCCTTTCCTTGCTTTTACGTTATTAATAAAAATCTTGACATCAAGATCAGTCGCAACGTCATCTACACCAAACTTCAAAACTCAAGTGCAAGTGGCACAGGMGAGAAAATCGACAACAGCAAAGTGACGATCAAGACTAAACTGTCCGCCATTATGACTTTGTGTATTTATATTGCTGCTCCTACTTTCTTAGGATTTTTCTCAGAATACCTATTAATACAATCAATGGTGTCTACYCTAGCCTATGAAAACTCTCCTTTTAGACCACGTGACCATTTTCAATATTATTACATAATTTTGTGGTTTGGGGAGGTCATCGCAAGATCCCATCGTGCAATTCTTGGAGCAATCAACGCCAAGTACCTATACACCGTCACATTAAAAAACCTGTGGATTCTGGCTATCATTGAAGTTTTACACATGCTAGTTCTATTTTGTGAGGCCTGGTATCGCTTTCTGCCTGGTGTTGGAATAGTTCTACTTCTCTGTTTTACKGCAGGTGTTTTCATAGGTATGCTTTTTACAAATTCTATGGAACTCCATTACTGTAATCTTCAAGAGAAAGAAAGGGAATTTGGGATGGGGCTTTCTATCGTTCCATTGACCTTAGGTATTCTAGTCGCTGGATTATTGGCTTTTTCGGTGGAAATCCAACTTAAAGAACACTGTACGGCCACCTTGGCCACCTATGAATATTGTTCTACAAGATCTTCATCTTTTAAAGACGTAGCCTTGAAATGTGGAACCTAAAAATGGTAGCCTGAGATAAACTACCAAAGCAAACAGGCAATGACAGTACTATGTTGCTAGTTGTTAATTATGATAATACCATGATCTCGGATTCATTGAATAAATTAAATAGAGGGAAATTTAGTAAAAGACAAAAGAATCCTTTAGAACGATTTCACATAACCGGATAAAAAATGCAAATCGAGATCAATTTATGCTAATACACATTACGTGATGAGAAAAGCTTGTATCAAATTGCTGTCAATGTTTGCAAAAACTAGACACAAAAATGTTTTGATTTTTTTTAAATTTCACGTTACGAAGTGTTACCTTAGTGTGCACGTTGGAATGTTTKTAAAAGCAAAAAAATGTTTTATTAGTGCAATTTTGGCTGCTTATGTTGTCGTTTTATTCATTTTTAAAAAGCTTAAGAGAACTAACGTCAGTGAGCTTGAGCGCACGTTTGTCTTAGAACACTGGAAAAAATCATTTACATCAAATTTACAGAATTCTGGACACTTACATCATATTTACATCAAATTTACAACCTTTAAAGCGCTCGATTTTTTCCAGTGAATGCTACCAAAAGTGCAAGGGGAATGACTGGGATAGCGTTGTTGCGCTGTGCAAGGCAACGATAGTCAACACTGGACTCCCAGATCGAGTTGTTCAGTTTTACTTTGAGAGTGGTAATGAGCAATTTATCACGAAGACTGAGCGAAAGGGACAATCAAAAAGATCATATCTGATCCAGTACACACCACAGCACAGTGCAAATCAATTCGGTGTCGAATGAAATTGTGACAAAACGACCAGAACCAGACGATAATTCAACACAAGAGTTAGAAATGAAATATGCAGGCAAGAAGACACCYAAAGAGAGGAGAAAGGATGCCGTGAAGAAAAAGCTTGAGTGTGATTTTGCACGTTTGTTATGATTTAATTGATATTTAAAACATATCTGTACGTCAAATAAGTAAAGTGTTCATCAAATTCCTCGTTGTTCCACGTGTCAAATCGTGTTTTGCGAATTAGCATAAATTGATCCTCATTAGCATTTTTTATCCGTTTATGTGAAATCGTTCTCTAGYTGTGATCTACCTTAATCGGCAGCCAATGTGAATCGAATGTTGTTTTCGAAATATTGCAATGTTTTTGGCACAAACGCATCCATACATATCTCATGTTCCAGCTCGGTTTTCTGTTTCTGAATGAGACGTGGCTGTCTGACAAGTGTTGTTGTCAAAAGCACAACATGCAAACAAGGCCGGTGAAGGTTTGATTGCTAAATATTTATTTTTGAGATATTAAGATATTTTGCATTTCGTAATCTTTGATCGTGCTTTTTATAATAATCACTTATTTTCTCGTATTCTGATTGGTTGATATCCATTGTCGATAAGAGCACATGTTATAGTGCTAGTTAATAGTTAACTAATGTAATCGGAGAGTTGCGATGATTGGCAATACAAAAGGAGAGCAAGCGAACGCATGTTTATGTAGTCTTATGTAGTACTTTTGTAAGTTGCTTCACCAAAATAAAGAGTATAGTCTGAAGCATTGGGGTCGTTCGTAGAGGTATAACATAATTTGGCGACCACGCCAGGACGGCATCTACGCTGAAAGACGCTGACGAAGATTATAAAGACGGAAAGACCACTCAAGAACCAGTGAATTACAGTCAACTCCAGCGGAGAAAGATAGCGCTTTACCGGCAGTTAGAACCCCCGTAACAGCCATCGAAGGAGTAGGATTGATGCTATGCTCATTCGGAGCGAGGTGAGTGGCCAAAACCAAGGAATAAAGGATGAAATACCTCTGTTGTTGCGTTGTTATCATGAGATCTAAAGCGYTAGTTTGCCGACATAAAAATTAGTGACTTATATCGTCTAAGGATCCTTTCATAAACAGAAACAGTAAAGTCAGATGCCTATATAGAGTGATTAAAGAAGTAAATTGAACATTTTAGCGATGGAAGCAACAGATATCGAAGAATTGCATTTGGATGTCGAATCGGCACTATACAAAGCTAGCGATTCGCAAATTGTGAGCATCGAGGAAACATTAGAATTAACGGAAGATTTGTCCGGTAAGAGCAAAAGGCAGAAATTAGTTTTTATCAGAAAGTCGAGAGATACCAGATCGAAAGGCGCTGTCGTGACAATCGGTTTTAATGGAGCTTTGCGCAGAGACGGTTGAGGCTTTTGCTTGAGACAGGGACATACATTGCTCACATAGTGGTCAACATCCCTTTKCATGTGTGGCCAATAAAATCTGTCGCGAATAAGAGCAACAGTCCTATCGCAGCCCGGATGTCCCATGTCGTCATGGAGCTCCCGATATACGGCGCGGTGTAGGAACTTGGGCAGCACCACCTGTTTGCGGTTGTAGGTCTTTCGGTACAGGATACCATCATCATCAATAGAAAGTCGTGTCCACTCGTGAAGGAGGAGGCGAGTCTCATCACACTGCTCCTGCTTCCGTTCTCGCAGAGTTKGGTATCTCCGGGAACTCACTATTTGTTTAACGCGTTGAATTACACTGTCTTCATCTTGGGCCTTCTTAATATTTGCGGCTCTAAACGTCCCAGTGATAGCATCAACACTTGCTCACTCCGTCTCGTCATCAATCGTGATGGGGCCTCTTTGTTTCTTACTCTACATCAACGACATGGGTAATAACATCTCATCCAATCTGAAACTTTTTGCTGACGACACKCTCCTGTATGGCCTTGTTCACAATGCAAGTGATGCTCTCCAACTACAACTAGACTTAGACAGCCTCGTTGGCTGGGCACAGGAATGGCAAATGAACTTCCACCCCTCTAAATGTTATGTTCYCCGGATTTACAGGATCAAGAATCCTGTTATACATAATTACACCATGCTTGGTCAAACACTAACAGCTGTTGATCACCAACCCTATCTGGGCATTACCATMTCAGAAACACTTAATTGGAAAACCCATATCTTAGATGTGAAGAATAAAGCAAATAAGACYTTGGGCTGTATCAAGAGRAATCTTCACTCATGTCCAGAGCGGGTAAAAGCTCAAGCGTATACATCCTTAGTGAGACCTATACTCGAATATGGTAGCAGCGCATGGGATCCTTACAGGCTATATCAGAAAAACATGCTTGAACAAGTTCAAAGACATGCGGCACGTTTCGTCACTAAAACGTACTCAAGACAGGAAGGGTGTGTAACTCAGGCATTAAACCACCTACAGTGGCCCACGCTGGAGCACAGAAGAAAAGTCAACAGGTTAACACTAATGCACAAAGCACTGATGGGACAAGCGGCTRTAAWCATACCCCCGTATGTTAAACACAAAACCGTGATGAAATTAAGGAACTCCCATGCACTAAAGTTTATACCACTACCAGTGTCATGYGACGAATATAAGTACAGTTTCTGGCCRAGAACAATAAAGGATTGGAACACTCTGCCGCCGAATATCATGAATCTGACATTAGACAATTTTAAGCCAGCCATTAATAATTTTTTACTTAGCCAATAATAACTATAACCCATAATAACTATAATAATAACAATAATAATAATAATAACATGGCATTTATACTTTTTTATACTTCWCTCCATTTGTACATTTATTTATTAATTTAATTTAACAATTTTGGAATTTGCTGTATGTCCGCCAGGATCTTGCAAATAAATGATGTAGATGTAGATGCTCGATATGGACATCCATGTTAGGTTTTCTTGCTGTTGGACTGCACATGTTATGGCGTCAAGGGACTCTCGATCAATCTCTTTTGTGCACGTGTCGATATACGAGTCCATGGCCAAAGGTAAGCGTGACAGGGTGTCTGCATCAGCATTTGCCTTACCGGGCCGATAACGAATGGTGAATCGAAAATTGGCCAGGTCCCCCACCCATCGCAGTCCAGTAGCGTTGAGCTTTGTGGAAGATAGAACATACGTGAGTGCATTGTTGTCAGTGTAAACAACAAAGGTGCATAATAGGTGCATAATAAAGTTAATCTCGAAAGTGGTCGTATATGGACCACTTGAGAGCCAAGAACTCTAGTTTGCCGGAATTTAAGTGATAGTTGGCTTCTGCAGGGCTAAGTGTTCTTGAGGCGTAAGCAATCACGCGAAGAGCCCCGTTTTGTCGTTGGTACAGGACTGCTCCAAGCCCGTCTTTCGAAGCGTCGGTGTGCAGCACAAAGGGTGACGTGAAGTCGGGGTAAGCCATAATAGGTTGTTTTGTCAAGGGCTCGATAAGCTCGTCTAGCGACGCTTGATGCTTGTCTTGCCATTCAACCCGTTGGTTTGGAGGAAGTTGGCCTTTTCTGTTTATGGAGGTCGTGTCAGGCTTTGCTTTTAAGAGATCATACATCGGTGTGGCTTTCCGTGAAAAATCCTTAATATATTTGCGGTAATAAATAAGGAATCCAAGTACTTTTCTCACTTCCTGTACAGTTCTCGGTTTGGTTTCCTTAAGACGAATTATGGGTTGGATTCCTGAAGGATCAAGGCGGTAACCTTTATTAGAGACGACATGTCCAAGGAAACAAACTTCCTTTCGAAAARGTTTGCATTTTTGTGGTTTTAGTTTAACCCCGTGCTCTCGTAACCTTTGAAATACTTGTTTTAAATGGGAAATATGATCCTCAAATGAAGAGCTGAAGACGATGATGTCATCTAAATAGGGGATACAGATCTCGTCCCTCAAGTTGCCAAGGCAATTTTCCATAACTCTTTGAAAGGCCGCGGGGGCATTTGTGAGACCAAAAGGCATTCTCGTCCACTCGTATAGCCCCCATGGCGTCACGAATGCTGYAAGGTGTTGACTGTTTTCATCAATGTAACCCTGATGATAAGCCTTGCCTTGATCCAGGGCCGAGAATCATTCGTTTCCCCTCAGGTTGTCGAGGCATTCTTGCACTCTCGGGATGGGGTGCCGGTCGGCGATGGTCCTCCTATTGAGTTCCCTGTAGTCGACACACAAACGCAAACTTTTATCTTTCTTCCGCACGCAGACGACAGGTGAACTGTAGGGAGAATGGGACGGTTGGATGAATTTCTTGTTGAGCAAGTCTTCGATGTAGCTCTTTACTTCCGGGTAGAGAGGTCTTGGAACAGCCACGTAGTTTTTCTGGACGGGTAGTTTATCACTGAGATTAATTTTCATTTTAAGTCCTACCGCATTGCCAATTTCATTGTCATCCTTGGAGAAGACGTCTTGTTCGTCAATGAGCACTGACTTGACTCTGTCTTCCTGGTCAGCKGTCAAGCCCTGAAGGTCGATTTTTTTAAGGTGCTCAGGTATTGTACCGCTAGTACAAAGAGGTTTCTCCTTCGGAAGCACTTGCTTCGTTGCAGACTGTGATGCTGRTTTGTAGGTGACATCTACTGGTGTCACTGACTGGACCATCTGAAGCCGTCCAATGATTGTCCGTCCTCTTATGGTGACGTCATGGTTGGTGGAGTTATGTACGGTTATGTCGACGCGACTCGACTTCCCCCGTCTTTTGCCAACTACTACCAGCGATGCGATAGCTTCGACGCCGTCAGGTAAGCACTGTATTTCATCGGGTTCGAAAATAACAGGGGTAGASTTGTGGATTGTGCCTGTGTTTKCACGGCATGGTACACGAATACTAGACCCCTTCTTAATCACTAAATCTCGCTTATTCGTTTTGACTTCACACATGTAGTCTGAATTTGCACTTGGAATTAATCTAACAAGCGCGTCCGCGTCCTTGATGTTGGGAAATGCCTGCTTCACGTATCCAGTACAAATTGCGTCATCATCGCTTGAAGTAATCACTTCTATGACGTTATAGCCGATAAGAGGGCGATCAAGTTCATCATTCGTAACCAGAAATGGTACATTGAGTTCAATACCCGTAGTAGACAGTTTTACATTTATTTCTACCCATCCCTTACATTGTATAGGAGTGCCATTGGCAGCGCTAAGACACAGATTGGGGGTGTCTAAGAGTTCTGCTATGTCCCGTATTTTATAAGAAGTGCCCTTTAGTATTCCTTCAGAAATAATCGAAACTTGGGCACCCGTGTCCCACAAGGCTTCAACCTCCTTTCCGTTGAAGTAGCATTTCACTATACATTTCTTGCCCACCAGTTTCACAACAGCTAACGTTGTGTTGTTTCGGCGTCAAATGAGTCATGAAAAGTTCCTCATTAGTGTTTTGCTCACGAGCTTTTTCTTTACATGTCAAATACTCTATCGCGTTACGAACCAGGGACTCCTCGTTAGTTTCTTCGGCTACAGCCCGCCCCCCGGTTGCAGCCGACGTTCGTTTCCCGCAGTATTGTTTTTAGTTGGGCATTGATAAGCGAGATGGGATTGCCCCCGCATTTATAACAATGGCGACATTCCTCCCCCACATTCCTTTCTTGGCAACTCGCACATCCCCTCTTGCGTCCCGTACTTCCGTTACGACGGCCACGATGACCGACCCCGCGGAACGATCCTTGATCCCTCGTGGTAGCAGTAGCTAAACCCCTCCCCACAGTGGTGTGTACCTTACCAATAAAATGACGACAGCAGTGTCACGCAAAGCTAGAAAGGTAAAATCTTTCAAATGCAGCTAGGTGACCCAACCAAAAATATAGCCTGGGACCTACTTACCAGGAACGCCTTGTACATTTTCATGGGATGAGTATGCCTGGGAACTAAAGTTCGAACTATTTGTAATTTTCGCGGGAAAATATTGGTTTTTCTTCGTCTTGTCATAATGTCAACTCAAATAAGACGTAAAACCGCTCCTCTTCTTTACCAAAGAGAACAGCAATGGTTTTCTAGGAAATTCC